TTCACTGTTGCCAATTCTTGGGGTCGGGACACCTAGTGTTGTAGAAGAGCGGTGCTACAAACAAGATGGAGCCCATTCCATGGTGGGTCCCAGCTTCTCCTTTGAGCAGAGGAAGCTTCCAGGCTAAGGCAGAGGGCCCCATTGTGGGGCAATGAAAGGCTCTAAGGATGTCCCACTGAGCACTGAGACTACCGACTTTCTCCAGCTTGAGGCCTGAGTTTCCTGAAGGGGGAAAGCAGACGCTGAGGGGTGCGAGGAGGGCTTCAAGACGGGACTCTCCCACTCCCTTCCCACCCTTTACCCGCGTCTTGGAAAGCAGGCTCCGGCGCGTGCCTCGTCGAGCTGAGCGCCATTCTCCTTCCCGCGCGGCTCGCGACGTCCTCGTGCACAGGATTTGCTCCCGCGCACCTTGCAGCGTCCTCGTGCGCAGGATTTGTTCCCGCGCTCCAGCCCCGGCGCCGCTCTCAAAAGCCAGCCGGGACGGCGCATGCGCACACCGAGCCTCGCCAGTCTCCGCTGAGCTGGGTTGCAGCATAGCAAAGGGTCCCTCGATTTCGCGGTTTTTCCTTTGCGGACAGGAGCAGCTTCAGCTCTGTGCCAGTATAGACTTTCTTTCTATGCTTTCCCCCTTTTACAGCCTCATAGGGCGAACAGAAATTTCCCTGTGACGGTTGCTGCTTGCATTAGAAAAGCTGGTTTCCTCAGGAGGAAAGGAACTATGGCTAGCCAGCTCTGGCCTGTCTCCCTCAACTGCTGCTCTTTCCAATGTGGAGAAGTCCCTCTCAGGGCCAGAAAAGGAGCCCTTCCCTCTGGGTTTCGGAAACCCAATCAATCCCCCACAGGTATTTGTCGTGTCAGGACAACCAGTCAAATTATATTACATTTCTAACAGAACAAAACAAACAAACAAACAAACAAACAGACAGACAAAATACAAAATTTGTGAGTTTGGTACTTGATCAAATGTCCCTTGACCAGTATCTGGCCACTTGGAGTGCTTCTGGTGTTGCTGCAAGAAGGTCCTCCATTGTGCATGTGGCGGGGCTCAGCTTGCATTGCAGCAGGTGGTCAGTGGTTTGCTCTTCTCCACACTCGCATGTCGAGGATTCCACTTTGTAGCCCATTTCTGAAGGTTGGCTCTGCATCTCGTGGTGCCAGAGCGCAGTCTGTTCAGCGCCTTCCAAGTCGCCCAGTCCTCTGTGCCCAGGGGGAGTCTCTCATTTGGTATCAACCATTTGTTGAGGTTCTGGGTTTGAGCCTCCACTTTTGGACTCTCGCTTGCTGAGGTGCTCCAGCGAGTGTCTCTGTAGATCTTAGAAAACTATTTCTAGATTTAAGTCGTTGACATGCTGGCTGATACCCAAAAAGGGGATGAGCTGGAGATGTCTCTGCCTTGGTCCTTTCACTATTGGTTGCTACTTCTCGTCGGATGTCAGGTGGTGCAATACCGGCTAAGCAGTGTAATTTCTCCAGTGGTGTAGGGCGCAGACACTCTGATAATGCAGCATGTCTCATTAAGAGCCACATCCACTGTTTTAGTGTGGTGAGATGTGTTCCACACTGGGCATGCATACTCAGCAGCAGAGTAGCATAGCGCAAGGGCAGATGTCTTCACTGTATCTGGTTGTGATCCCCAGGTTGTGCCAGTCAGCTTTCGTATGATGTTGTTTCTAGCACCCACTTTTTGCTTGATGTTCAGACAGTGCTTCTTGTAGGTAAGAGCATGGTCCAGAGTGACTCCCAGGTATTTGGGTGTGCTGCAATGCTCCAGTGGGATTCCTTCCCAGGTGATCTTCAAAGCTCGGGATGCTTCTCTGTTCTTGAGATGAAAGGCACATGTCTGTGTTTTGAATGGCTTGGGGATCAGCTGGTTTTCCCTGTAATAGGCAGTAAGAGCACCTAGAGCTTCGGATAGCTTCTGTTCAACCATCTCAAAGCTCCCTTCGGGAGACATGAGGGAAGTCTCCTCGCAGGATTGCAAGACATCCGTGCGTCGCCTGGGCAACGTCTTCGTAGACAGCTGATTCTCTCGCTACAGAAGCGACCAGCATCCCCACAGGTACAGTGAGCCCATTTCTGTAGCCCATCGTCCATTTCTAGTGTTACTCTCTCGCCTCTCTCTTTAACTACTTTGTAACCTCTTTGCTTTTCATGTGCTTTTCTCCTTAAGAACAGATACGCATCCCTTCCCGAGCTCTGAGGATTACCTAGGAAGGAATCTCACTGGAGCATTGTAGCACACCCAAATACTTGGGAGTTATCCTGGACTGTGCTCTGACCTACAAGAAGCACTGCCTGAATATCAAGCAAAATGTGGATGCTAGAAACAATATCATACAAAAGCTGACTGGCACAACCTGGGGATCACAACTAGATACAGTGAAGACATCTGCCCTTGCGCTATGCTACTCTGCTGCTGAGTATGCATGCCCAGTGTGGAACACATCTCACCACACTAAAACAGTGGATGTGGCTCTTAATGAGACATGCCGCATTATCACAGGATGTCTCCGCCCTACACCACTGGAGAAATTACACTGTTAAGCCGTATCGCACCACCTGATATCCGCCAGGGAGTAGCAACCAATAGTGAAAGGACCAAAGCAGAGACATCTCCAGCTCATCCCCTGTTTGAGTATCAGCCAGCACGCCAAATCTTAAATCATAGAATCATAGAGTTGGAAGAGACCTCATGGGCCATCCAGTCCAACCCCCTGCCAAGAAGCAGGAATATTGCATTCAAAGCACCCCTGACAGATGGCCATCCAGCCTCTGTTTAAAAGCTTCCAAAGAAGGAGCCTCCACCACACTCCGGAGCAGAGAGTTCCACTGCTGAAGAAATAGTTTTCTAAGATCTACAGAGAAATAGTTTTCTAAGATCTACAGAGACACTCGCTGGAACACCTCAGCAAGCAAGAGCCCAAAAGTGGCAGGCTCAAACCCAGAATCTCAATAAATGGCTGATACCAAAGGAGAAACTCCTTCCTGGGCACACAGAAAACTGGGCGACTTGGAAGGTGCTGAACAGACTGCATTCTGGCACCACGAGATGCAGAGCCAACCTTAAGAAATGGGGCTACAAAGTGGAATCCACGACATGCAAGTGTGGAGAAGAGCAAACCACAGGAATAATACTTTCAAACAAGGAACAGATTTTTTTTCCAAATTTTGTTACATAGTGTTATGGCTAATAGCTTAGCAGCCTTTCTGTCTTATCCACCAAGCATTCTTTGATACTCTTCTATTATCTGTGTGGAGGCCAAAAGGAGGTGCTAGACAGAAGGATAGTCCATATTATGGGGGGAGTTGGAAGAAAATGGTTCCCCCCCATTTTCGTTGGTTATTCTCCCACCCAACTTCCCATTTCATAAATGAGGGTTGTTTCCACAAAGGTGACATGGGTGAGGGTGGGGGAATAATGGGGAAAGGAAATGCTTTTACTCCTTCAGACCTCCCTCCTCCTTGTAAAATGGACTATTCTTCTCTGTCCAGCGCCCCCTTTTGGCCTCCATCAAGATAATGGAACAATACCCAGTCGTTTTTCTCTCTCTCTGGTCACAAACATGTTCATGGGACTGGGAGCTGTGGGCCACCGGCTAAGAACGCATATATACTGTAGTATTAATGCAGTTTGACACCATCAAATCATGGGACTTGTAATGAAGCACAGAGACAAAAACACCGTAGGTTTAGGGATTAGTCATATGTCAATTAAAGGGGTTATCGGGTTGCAATCTATGTCCCAGAAGGCTACATATCTATATTTTGAAAAAATCTGGTTTCCAAAGTTACCACAGGCACAACTCCTACATGGTGTTAGATGGGCTTAGATTCCATTGATTTCACTGATGTGTTTGTACAATCAAGGACATTAGAATTAGCAGAAGACAAATATATTCTCCAAGCCTATCCCAGGCTGTTTTGTTTCTCAGGGAGTGCTGACTTGAACAGCCGATTGTAAAGAAAGGATAGCTCCGTCTCCCGAGTTTATGGGCTGGAAAGTCTGTGCAAATCATTACAATGTCTAGGAACATAGGAATTGCCAGTCTATTTGTATTTCTATTTATAGTAGCTGTCTAGCATTTCAAGCAGAGGTCTTTCCTGTTATATTCTGCACACTCCAATTTCTACAACTGAGCAGCATCTCTCTCTTTATTTAAAAAAACCAAACAGTTTCTTTACCTATAATCTCAAAATCTTTCTTGGCCCTCACCAGGTGTATTATTATCTATTGTTACAGCAGTCTCACTCATCCCTTTCTCTTTACATACATATTTGAGGGTGTATTATTACAAGAACATAAGAGTCCTTCTGATCGGACCAAATTGTGTTCTCTTGTTCAGAATTCTTTTCCAGCAGCACCCCATCGGTTGGATGGAATGCCTGTGAGAAATACATAAATATTTCCCCATCCACATATACTTTTTAAATTCCAATTTCTTGAAACTGAGGCCCCTTCCACACTGCCCCTATATCCCAGGATCTGATCCCAGTTTATCTTCTTATCCCAGATTATCTGGTAGTGGAGACTCATGTAATCCAGTTTAAAGCAGATAATCTGGTATAAGATACTGGGATATAGAGCAGCATAGAAGGGGCATAAGAACGTCAGATACAGTCTAACTTTTAAAGGCTTTTATGGAGAAGAAATAAGGATGTGGTAAGTATATTGTCTTTTCCTGTCCATTCTTAGCCAACACTGAATTTCCTTCCCCCCCCCCCCCCCCCCCCCCAGTGCTGCACTACAGTAGGAATAACGGGTAACATGTTTCCCTGTTTGGCAGAATAAGTGGTAAGCAATGTTTCATGCCTTAACTTGTGTATATGCTTATGACAGATGCTACATTTGAAGACACAGGAGCAAGATATTTACTAGAAAGCTGGGCCTAATTTTGCTGCTGGCAGGTAACATCTTAAGGGAAACTTGACATTTTATGTAAGTATTTCTTCTTTGGTGGAATATGTTTGGCAATTAAAACAAATCATTTCAAATGGAAAAATCATCTCCACAATAATAAAATATATTTTCTCTTACATACGTATTCAAAGCACTTTGAAATATTAACATTTTGACTCATATTGCAGAGCAAAATATGAAGCAGAGTTCTGTGTCTGAACAGCATAAGAGTCAAGAATAGGTTCCCCAAGATCCTAAAACTCAGTTTCCATCTTTCTTTCATGTCTTGTTTGCATCCACCATACCAAAAAATGTGTAGAGACTGTTGTATTTGGATATATCTTGGGAAGACATAATTCACTAGAATAAACAATAATGGTTGGTAAAGTAGAAGGCAGCAGGGAAAAAGGAAGGGCCCATTCCAGTTGGAGAGAATCTTATCAAAGAAACAGGACCGGAGCAGGGCTGTTGGTGACAGGGTGACTTGGAGATTTCTCATCCATAGGGATGCCATAAGTCAAAGTCAGCATCACAGTAATAGCTTTGTAGTCCCAGTGATGCACAAGATCATCCCAAGTGGAAAGCCATTTTCCCTTGTTAAGCATAATGTCTTTATGTCCAGTTTGTTAGCCTCTGCAGCCATCTCTATTCCAGAAAATCAAATGCAGCAGTTTGATCAGAAGGCTACAACAGAAAGAAAGGAGCAGTGACTCTACTTTCTGTGAAAGACTTGTTGTTTGGCATTCTTAACACGCTGTTCCTCTTTCAGATTCATCTGCCGCACGTGCTTGCAAGAGATGAATTCCACGTGATCAGAAGGAAACCAACCTCTCTCTCCATCTGAGAGTTTCATGCCTTCAATCCAGCCTGGAGGGAGAGAAGAAGCTAAGTATGAACAGGGAAATACTGCTGAATTACTGCAATTTGCACATAATTATTCAGTAAAACAACCATTTTATCTGTCATATAATAAGATCCCTATTCTTTTCTTTATCAGATGAAACACCTCACTTTATTACCTCCAGACTAAAGAAGTTTATTCTGGAGTAGTTCAGTTCCTAGCACTAAGCTAGATTTCCCTTTTCACGGTATAACGAACTCTAGAACAATGGTTCTCAACCTGTGAGTCCCCAGATGTTTTGGCCTTCAACTCACAGAAATCCTAACAGCTGGTAAACTGGCTGGGATTTCTGGGAGTTGTAGGTCAAAGCATCTAGGGACCCACAGGTTGAGAACCATTGCTCTAAAAGAACACGATCACTTGTACCTAAGGAATCCACTACATCTACCCCATTTACCAGGTCTTTCACTGTTGGTTAGGTTTAGGCAGGCGTCCTCAAACTTTTTAAACAGAGGGCCAGGTCACAGTTCCTCAAACTGTTGGAGGGCTGGATTACAATTTGAAAAAACATGAATGAATTTCTATTCACACTGCACATATTTTATCTGTAGTGCAAAAAACACTTCAAAACAATACAATAATTAAATGAAGAACAATTTAAACAAATATAAACTTAATAGTATTTCAATGGGCTTGCTTTTAGCTGATGAGATAGGGTGGTGGTGGTTGTTGTTGTTGTTGTGTGCTTTCAAGTCATTTCAGACTTAGATTGACCCTGAGTGAGGGCTAGGTAAATGACCTTGGAGGGCCGTATCCGGCCCCTGGGCCTTAGTTTGAGGACCCCTGGGTTTAGGTCTAAAATGGCTGATTCCCTTGTTGCCTCGTCTACCTTTTGGACAATGAAATTGTCTGCAAGGCAAATTAAGCATTTGTTGGCCACAATATTTTTACCAAAGTTTGTCTTCCAACAAATATCAGGATAGTTGAAACACCCTATAACCATTACATCTCTCCTTTCAGAATTATTTAGGTCCTTAGTCTCGCTTGGAGGAGCCTCTCCTTCCCCACAACATCCTGTTATTTTTCCCTCTTAATTTTTATCCAAATACTCTCAACCTGACTTCCAGGATTTACATCTTGGACCTTTTCACAGACATAAACACCTTCCTGTTTGGTTTATTTTTCAGAAATAAGTTCTGCCCCTCTATTACTACATTCCAATTGTGAGATTCATCTCATCAGGTTTCAGTGTTGCTGGTTGTATCATATTTGCTTTATTAAATCAAGAGTTCAAGTTCATCTTCTTTATTTCCCATGCTTTGTGCATTACAGTAGGGATATCAAAGACCATGGGCCATCCCCAACTGCTTAAATTTTCCCCCCTTCTCTTCGTTGAGTTCTTGTGCTTTTTGCCAAGTTCTTTCTGTAACAGTTGGAGTATTTTGTCCTGATAAACTTATGACTAGGAAGGTAGAGTGGAAGATGTGAGACTGAGATTGCAGGAATAACATGCAACTTAAAAGCAGCAACTAGAGAACTTGGTGGAAGACACAGCTCTGGCCAGTAACTTCACATAGCATTAATGTAGCAAACGTTTCGAATGGACCTGTTATACTCTAGGATGCCAATCCAAACAACTTTATTTGCCAATTATGTGAATTATGTAATGAATTCAGGAAGGATTGATTAGTAATCTCACCCCAGTATAGTTCCTATTATTATTATTATTATTATTATTATTATTATTATTATTATTATTATTATTATTATTTGGTTTCTAATGTAGGGATGCACAATAGTGCTTGGTAATAATAAAAATTTTATAATAAAACTTTAAAATATTCTGCCCTATCTCCCCATAGGGACTCTGGGCGGTTAGCAACAATTCACAAGTGAAGTTAAAACTGTATGTAGCATTTTTAAAGACGGCAGAAAAAGTTACATATCAAAAGCAACATTTATAAGGGGAAACAGTTATTATTGTAACAAGTTATCTCCTTGTTAACTTTCAAACTTCAAAGGACATTTTAAGAGCTAATTTGACAGGTGTTTTTCAAGACTTGTGCCAAACTTATAAATCTTAAGTCATTTTTTAAGGAACAAAAACAATGAGCTAAGAAACAAGTAATGCAAAGGACTGCTTTTCTAATCACGACTAATAATTGCTATTTATTATTTCTTCAACATTGCAATGAGTACATGGAAATGAATTATTTTAAAAAGTAATTTTCCAAAGCATAATCTGAGAATCAAATTCACAACAACCTTTCCATATCCCAAAGTTTCCAGCATTGCTGTGTCTACTCACCATCAGTAGTATGCCGTAAGACAATGATTATATCAGCTTTCTCTAGTGCCAACTCATCATTCTCTCGGGCTTTGTATGATTTCACACACTGAACTTGAGGTGTATCTGTGAATTTGATCAGAACATAGGGATTGTTAATTGTCAGGTACATTGTTGTTAAGATATTTTTTTCACTGAGGGAGCAACCCTCAGTGAGAAAAAATCATAATTAAACAGAACATTTGAACATAGACATGCAGAGCTTTCCTAACTTATGTAGATGGAGGATATACATAATATATGCATGTACACATGCACAAGTCTGTTCTAGTTATTGCACTTGAACTTTGCAGTTCCACCAGGCATTGTCCACAAAAAAGCATATCTAATTTCTACTAACATATTAGAATTGCAGATGTTTTAAGGAAAGCTGATTTGGGGATTATGGGGGGGGGGGGGAGGGAGATGCATATAAGTTTTATCTGGATGCAAAGTTCTAAGAAGAAAAGGGGTTCTGAAGTAAGATGGATGACAACTCGTTCCTCCCAACAGCAGAATTCTAGCATTGTACATATCAATATTTGAAAAGTAAGTGTAGGAAGTCTGAGAATGCATTGGTCATAGCAGCAGCACCTAGGCACCCTGGCTCCTCTAATTGGCACAGTAACTAACCATAGCATAACTTCTCATGCTTACACAAAATCAGTGTTCTGGGCCACAAATGGTTCATTGTTGGCACTTTTGAATAATAATAATATCTCTCTTCCCTTTCAGCATTAAACTATCCTGCCAAGATAATTTGTAGTAGTTGCAAGTAATTCAAAATATAAAAATAACTATATTCTTACTTGTTGTATACATTCAGCTTTTCAAATAAAATTCTTCAGGAAAATCTAACAAGTCATTGGTCAGGTTTTGAATGGTAAAATGTGGGTTGATTTCACCATGACCAGGAGCAACTGGCATAAACAGAAGGGGGTGTGGGCCTGAAGACAACAGGCAACCTCTCCCCTGGCCCACTAGGTGTTAAATAAAATACTAAGAGAAGAGAAGAACCACAACAAGTCTCCTGGAAAACAATAATTGCCTGAGGACCTGCAACGTTTTAGGAAATGTTTAAGGGTGCCTGTTGCCAGGTAACTTTTTGCAGAAAGAGATGGGACACTCAGGGGACTTTTAAGGAGACTGGGGCTTAAATCCTCATGTTTCTCAATGACAGTGAGGACAATGAACTTGAAATAGGCAAAACATATAAGATGTTGATACCAGGCTTGGTCTAAATTGAGTGAAAATAAGATACTTTGGATGTATTGTTGATGGTTTTCATGGCCGGAATCACTGGGTTATTGTAGGTTTTTTTGGGCTATGTGGCCATGTTCTAGTAATAATAATAATAATAATAATAATAATAATAATAATAATACTTTATTTGTACTCCACTACCATCTCCCCAAGGGACTTGGTGCAGCTTACATGAGGCTGAGCCCAAACACACAATACAAGCAATAATCACAACTATACAAGCAATTAAAATAAAACATAAACATATAACATTATCAATAAGACAACATACAATTAAAACTATGGGAAGGCCAAATGTAAAATTAAAATTGAAAATAGTGCTGAACATGGACGAACTGGTGATAGTAGCATTTGTGGAGAGACATATGGGCAGACCTAAAAAATGTAAAGTGCTTTAGAGGGACAAAGTGCTATGGGATCATTAATCCGGAAAGGCACACTGGAACAACCACATCTTCAAGCTCTTCCTGAAAACTGCCAGAGTTGGGGCCTGCCTGATGTCCTTAGGGAGTGAGTTCCAGAATCGAGGGGCCACCACCGAAAAGGCCCTCTCTCTCGTCCCCACCAATCGCGCCTGCGATGCTGGCGGGATCGAGAGCAGGGCCTCTCCAGATGAATGAAGAAATCGTGTGGGTTCGTATACAGAGATGCGGTTACGCAGGTAGGTGGGTCCCAAACCATTCAGGGCTTTGTAGGTAAGAACCTGCACCTTGAATTGGGTCCGGTAAATGAATGGCAACCAGTGGAGCTCTTTGTTCTAGAGGCATTCTCTCCTGACGTTTCATCTGCATCTATAGCAAGCATCCATAAAAAAACTACAACAACCCAAGATACTTTTGGCTGATTCTGAACAAAGTCTGGAGCATCATTTTTTTTTTTTACTAGTTCCTGCTCACAAAATGAGCTCCTGTGATTATCAGGACTGCTAGTTACCAGCTTGAGCTGATATGCCTCAAGTTTAGATAAGTGTGTAAATGGACCTACCTCTGTACCAAGTTTGGGAACTCCAATTACCAGTAGTTCAAAATATGGAAGCCAGATTTATTACTTGTACATACAGGAGGAGCACATTACACTTACATTGAAATAACTGTACTGGCTGCCAGTTAGTTTCTGGGCAAAGTACCAAGTGTTGGTTATTAGCTTCTTTTTTGCCATGTATTAGATTTTCTTTAGTTAGCAAATTATTAGCAAAGAATAAGCCCTGAAGAGAATTTTCTTAAATCCGTGCTTAACTGAGATAGTGGGGACAACAATGTTTTTCTCAGACCTTGGCATCATTAAGAAAGCAAAATATAAGCCTGCCAATAAAACTTGAAAGAACAAATGGTTTTGAAGATTTAATAGGCACTCAAATACATTTAGCCTGTTTTCAGGAATGGTAGATATATGCCTGCAAATCCCTGCCTTGTCAGTCAGAAGTGTCAAGCATGTGGTTTATTTTTGCACAGTATTGAAATGAAAGTCACTATTAGAAGGCAGACCACCTACTTCACTGCTCATTTCTCATGAGACTATATATATCCTTGTCTCTTTATTTTAATTTTCCTGCCTGAAAAGGGAACTGATAACATTAGAGCTATACACAGAGCCCATTTTTAGTCCAATTGTTGTTATGATACTCAAGCTCAGAAACAGATTTGACTACCAAACTGATTTCCCCTCTTAAAGGAAAGATGTAAAAAAAGGAAGAAGAACCAAGAACAAATAAAGAGAATGAGAACAGAAGGTATAGGAACTGTTTTCCCAATACTGTATTAGAGCACAACTTTATCAAAAGCCCATCTCGCATAGAATTTATGAGTAAATATGCTAGCAACTGTCACCCAGATGATCTTTTCATAACATTAGGATCTAATTTTGGTTCTCACATTCTTTCATGTACTTTGCATTGTTGTGTGCTACGTTTAAGTGTTCATTAGTTTCATATTTGTCAACATCTACAGACTTGAATGCTGAGAAAGGAAAACTACTTTCTGTATAGAACTGCACTGAAAAATTGTACTGCATTAATATGGGTTCGCAAATTAATATCTCTATTATATGCATGTTGCATGTCCTGAGCAATCCTACCAGAGTCATCCAAAAGGTCACGTTCTGTCTGTTGAGGCGAAAGAGCAGAAATCCATCGCAGCTTCTCACTCCTAGAAAATAAATGCTGAAAATATGAATCTTCAAAAATGCACTTAAATTCAAAAGAATGGCTGCGTGACTTTTTTATCAGTATACAAAAGGGTCTTGTAGTAACTGACACTGAGTGGAAGAAGGTTATAGTTTCTGTAAACTCAGTCTACACATCTGATGAAATTGATGAAGTTTATGAAAGTATGTGAAACACACAAAAGAATATACTACATCTTTGTGTAAGAAAGCCATTGTTATTTTAGCTTGTGCCCTCAAACTCCAATCAGGCAACCTCCCACAGAATAATTGTATTTTGCACAGAGTAATTTTGAAAAACACTTTGCTAAGTGTAAATACTAGTCAAAAACTGTCCTATCCCCCCCACAAACTGGTCTCCCTAAATGTTGGGGACATCATTTTTTGGGCAAGAAACAAATAACAAATATTCTTTCCATCCCTTTTCATATCTGTACTTCTAAATTAGTCTGAGGTGTGAGTGGTGTTTAGAGCTGATATAGGTTATAAAATTGTAGATTTTCTTACTGTATTTCTGTACGGAAGAGAAACTCTACTTTTTTCCCTTGATTATTCTGCAGGAGGAAGAGGCGAAAAACATTTTTGTTTGCTCCATGCAGTTTCATTTCACATTTCTCTCCACGGACATCCGAGGAAGCAGCATAATCAAATACAATAAAGCGCCCGTTTCTGCAAGAGAACAGAAGGGGCAGAATGTCAAAAAGGTAGAATTTATAATTAAAAGAGCAATTCAATTATGTCTTGTACAAAGAAAAGTCATGTGATGGGATGTTTTCTCTTAACCTCTGAACCTTATAGCCAATTTGTATCTTGATTGAGAGAGACCTCAGTGGAATATGAAGAAATTAGAGATCTCAATGGAATACGAAGAAATAAGCAAATAACTCATTAAAAATCTGAAGGAGCAGACCACAGCTGGTTTTGCACTCAAAAAAGTATCAGAAGCAAGGAAACAGTTCAGTCCAGATCTCCTACATCTTGTGCTGCAATTGTTGGCTTTATTTAAAAAAAAAACCCAGTAAATACCTTCACAGTGTCATAATAATGAGAACTGGACAATATATCACATCATTTTTGACATCTGCAATGTGTCATATTTAACTTTTGGGTGACCTCTGGGATAGATGCCAGAGGTAACCCAGTCAAGATGAGAAGATGTTCCTATTTATTAGTCCTTTGTTTGCTTAGAGAGGGCATGGGAACTGGCAAAGGCAGCAAGGAGATGGAGGAAGCCTAGAAAGGTTCTAAAGATCAGAGTGTATATGAATACAAAAGAATATCAGAAGCATAATTAACCATAGCATCTATTCCAGGCTCTAATTGCAGCCTTCCAGTGACTCTGGGTGTGTTTCTAGACACAAGGATCCATTACATATCCATCACCAAACTCTCAATTTTTTGGAAAGGCATGATCTTTTAGAGATCATAACCTTTTGGGAAACCAGATATCTCCATAGCCTTTTGGAAATGTGAGCCTTTTGGAGATTAATTGGCATTTACACTATTTGGAATAATCATAACCTTTTTGTAAAGTATGATCTTCCTGAGAAGAGTTAAATCCTCGTTTGAGTAAATCTTCTCCTTAGTGGTAAATATTCACTAGTATTCATTCAAGGCAAATTAGGTTTCTTTGTTATTAGACTGATATACCTGGTTATCTCTCTGAACTGTTAGGAACAAAGATATGCTAATGCACAAAATAATAGATTTTCAGAAATGTTATTTCAGTTGCCCAAAAACATCTACTCTCAAGAGATCAAAAATAGGCAGTCTTCATTAAAAGTAAACATAACTGATTGACTTACAAACTTCATGTATTCAGCATACAGGTATATTGCTTATTGGTTTTGACTACATACTGCAGCATACTGACACTACTGACTTCTAAACAGTTCTGTACTGCTTCTACTGCAAACACACTTCCAAAATGGAGTCTCAGTCTGAATAGTCCCAGATCTGTTCACATGGTCTGTAGCCCCTCCCACAACCTCAAACAACACAGAGTTAAGGGAAAACTGCATATCAAAATATACGTACAATATAGCAAACAATCTGAATTATATACATAACAAATAACTAGTATAGGAGGCTTGTAGAAGGTTACTATTTCCAACACAACTGACGTTTTTATTTTAGACATTGCAAATGTGTAGCTTCAGTAATACTTGCAGAGTTTGTTAGCCATCAAAAATCTATTCAAGTTCCATGAAATAGTTGAGGTCTTCATAGCACTTACTCTTTGGGCCGTGACAGCAACAAATAGTCATTAAAGAGATGAAGGTAGATGGATCGAGTGGTAAGCTTCCACTTCACACTCAAATTATACTCCAGTGCTGTAAGTTCACCGCACTTCACAAGACGCCGCGACTGTGAGATAAGTGGGAAAATCTACAAATGCAAATAGAATGATTTTGAATGAAGTTAACTGTATCTCAATAGTTCCAGAGATGCAGAAGGAGAGACTTCTGGCCCTCTTCTTGCAAATGAGCATTTGTGCCTTACCCTGTCTTTGGTGGATAAGAGCTAGGGAAAAAGAATGAGAGCTTGAGGGAAAGGGGGAAATCAGTGTTTTGTATTATTTCAGATATAATATACAATTTTAATAAACAGTGAATATAGTGTACATAAAGACAAATATACTAAGCATGTACAGTATTAGGCATATAAAGGCCAGACTGATTGTGCTAGGATTTCTTGTGTACTTTCTTGTGTGACAAGAACTCCTATTCAGACATGTGCAGAAGGAAACAGAGCATGTACTCCAGCCTTCTTGTCTCCCTTCTCATTTGTCTCTTCCACTCCTTGTCCCTAGCCTCTTTATGGACTCAGCAAAGGCTGAATATTGAACATAGGCGACACCAGGACCCCAGAAATCCTGATAAAGTGAGATTTCAATTATGTTCAGCTTTGTAATTATTTGAACAAGCTTGAATCTTCTCAAGAGACCTTGCCTGTTATCATGTATCATGTTCTGCTATACACAGAGCCCATGTTGATGATGGTTGCTGGTGTTAGGCCTAGCAGTTGGCAATGGAAGGGTTAATGTAAGTCTTAGTTCTAAAGGGTTGAGTAATCTGTAAGTAAGAGTTCATGGGTGAAAGCAATTAAGGGTGGAGGTCTGCAAGAGATAGGTTGCAGCTGGGTGTTTGTGGATATAATGAGCTAGCCTTGGGGTTGATCTTAGAGAGAAAAGTATTTGTCATATTTTGGTAGTAGATGTTGCTGGTTTTTCCCCAGGTCTCTGGATTTTCGGTATCCTGACCTGTCTCCTGAACTCTTTGAACCCTGGAACTTTGAATCTCTGGACTGGCTTTGGACTACAGTATAGACTGTTGATCCCTGGACTTTGCTCATTGAACTCTTGGCATTTTGACCCTTGGACTGGACCTTTGACTATGGTGTAGCTTTTGCTATCAGTTTTTGTTTATTTTGTAGCTGAGTGCTATCTTTATGTTTTATATTTTGGACTAGTAAAACAGCCAGGAAGTAAGTGCTATTTTAATTAAATTGTTTGACACCAACTTGGTGTTTGGTTCATCTCTACCTGAATAAGGCAGAAACCCTGGCATCGTGAATAAGAGAGTAGGGAGGACAGGTTGAAGTATTCATCTTTGTCTTACACAATTACAGCAATGGTCAGCTTAATAGGGCTAAAAAGATAGGAAGGATTGGTCATCCACCCTCATCAATACAGTTGAAGATAATCAGTTGCCTAATGATTCAAACAGCAGGATAGCCTCACTGTTAAACTGTCACCTTTAGGTGGCAGCAGTGAACCTCTACAAACCATCACAGTATGTGTGATGAGAATGTTAATAACAAGTGCAGGAGAGACTGGGAAAGAAAACCAATGGTTTGTTTACCTTGCATTCAAACTCCATATTTTGACTTAAGTGGATTAGCTCTTCAGTGCTCTTCATGCGCTGAACATTTTCATTGCAATCCTTGATGAGCTGCAAAGAGAAGAATGTTAAGGAGGGTACAAAAGACTGAGAATAAGGAAGCCATCCTTTTAGAACGTACTGCTGACAAAACTAAATCGGTTGAAAGTCACAATGATTTACTTCTGGAAATGTTGACAGCCTGCTTAGAAATAAGTGTGCTATTTTAATTAATGATTTTACAATATTTACACTCTCTTGGCATAATCTGTTTTGTATTCGTTAGAACAATATCCCACATTTCTTTCAAAATTGGCACTCAAGGCAGCTAACAATAAAATTGAATTGAACAAATCCAATTAAAATGTAAATTACAACGAAAACAAAGAATTATACACAAAATTTAAATTTAAAATATATTAATAAAACAAAATGCATTATCACCAGGTTAAATACTCTTATGCAGAAATCCAAGCAAATTGGCAGAGGTTTCCTCAGATGAGGTTATTGTCTACCGATAGAAGAAGGAAGGAAGGATCAAATTTGCCCCCACCCTGCTTTGCAGGAAATTTGCAGGAATAACAGCTTCCATAGAGTTAGATAGAATGAAAAGGTAAAATTGGATATTAATGTTAATTATTGGGTTGTTGTAGGTTTTTTCGGGCTATATTGCCATGTTCTAGAATCATTTTCTCCAGACGTTTCACCTGCATCTATGGCAAGCATCCCCAGAGATAGTGAGGTCTCACTTTAAGGTTGCTATAGGTTGGAAAAAACTAAAAGGAACACAACAACAGCAAATGCCTATAATTGCCTGGACTAGAACCATTTCTGAACTATTTTTTGCTATTTACAGTCCTTAGTATGGAGAAATACAGAAAAGGAGAAGGGGGCAGGCTACAGATATTTTAGCTCTTATGTGTTGCAATGTACATAAAACACTGAATCATAGAGTTGGAAGAGGCAACAAGGCCACCCAGTCCAGCCTGCTCTCATGAAGGAATCAAATCAAACAGAATCAAAGCACATCTCACAGATGGCCATGAGTATGGTTACTCTGGTGGGTATTTTTGAACCAATATGCCACTTGTGTGGGACAGAAATGTAGTCCCAGAGTTGAGCCTGGATGCCTAGGTGACCAGAAATGTGTTTGCTGAAACTGGTGTACTAATTTTGCTTATTGGTAGGATTAACTGTTTTTGGCATTTTTTTTACCTTCTCAAGAGCATCGTATGCTTGTGTTGCCTGAATTTCTTCTTCTGCACCAGGTTGAGTTCTCTTCAGTATGTTCTGAAAAATGAAAACAAAGGGGTTAAATGCTTAGGCATTTTCAGATTCTACATCCACCTTGCTGCATCAGTGATAAATTCATCGATCTAATAAACATACAGGATGTATTTGTTTGGGCAGCAACTACTTTTTGTAGAATACAATTTTGGGCTGGAGCAATGAGCCAACAGTTGAATTCCCTAGATATTTGCCAGAGTGTTGTTGTCATATGAAGCTCCTGGATTGCCTTTTTGAATGGGCTGTCTGATTAAATAATAATAATAATAATAATAATAATAATAATAATTATTATTATTATTATTTATATTCTGCCACCATCTCCCCAGTGGGGATTCGGGGTGGCTTACATGAGGCCAAGCCCAATAGCATATTACAATAAAATACAATAAAACCAAAGCACAAACAACACAGTAAAATACATGAAATGTTTGAGTGCAGTAAGCAATATAAAAATACAATACAAAATCATTCACAATCACAACCGCATGTACAAGATAAACTGCTAAAAACTCAGGGTGAGATAAGAATGGGATGGAGCAGATTATTTGTGAGGGAGAAGCTCATAAAGCAACGGGGTTGTACAAACAGGCCTTCATCTAGGAGGGGGGAAGTGTACTTTAGGAACGGAAATGTTGAGGGGGAGCAACAGTGTATGGTTGTATGGCTACTCTCCAAAAGCGCAACGGAAGAACCAGGTCTTGATATTCTTCCTGCAGGTTTCTAAGATGGAGGCTTGCCTAATCCTACTGGGCAATGAGTTCCAGAGTCGGGGGGCCACAGAGGTGAAGGCTCTCTCCCTTGTACCCACAAAACAGACCTGTGATATTGGTAGGGGTGAAAGGAGAGCCTCCCCGAAGATCGAAGAGCTGGGGCTGGTTCATGGAGATAGATACAGTCACAAAGGTAGGAGGTCCCAAACCATTTAGGGCTTTATAGGTGATAACGTGCACCTTGAAATAGGTTTCTGATGAGGAGAAAGGAGTACAACTCTTAACAGCAAGAGCACATAAAGTGTTTTGTTTCTTGTTTGACCAAGAAGAGGGTCATAAGGCATGCTTCTGGTTACCTTTGGATAACCTTGCACCTTAAAGGCCTGGCTTCTACTAGCCAGCAGGAAACCTTTGGTGGGAGGACTTCCCTAGCCCTTATTCTTTTCATGTCTGCAAATCCTGTTTTCTGAGGGCCACAGAAACGCGTGGCCAGGTACAGCTAGTATTTATTATAAAGAAATAAGGGCCCATATTCCCCAAATTGCTGTTTATAAACATGTTACATTATTTATTAATTTAGCTATTAACTGTATTTTACCTGAATGCTGTTAGTGGGTGCTCTCAAGTCATTTCTGACTAAAAGTAACACTAAGGAAATCCTATTATAGGGTTTTCTTTACAAGATTTGTTTCAAGGAGGTTTGCCTTTGTTTTCCTCTGAGGTCAAGAGTCTATGGCTTACACAAAGTGGCTTTCCATAGCTGACTAGAACCCTAATCTTCAGAGACATAATTCCAAACCCAAACACTACATAGAGTCTATGCTTATGCTATCTGGCAACAAATTTAAGAATCTGTCTGATATCTAGAACTGTAAGTCCAATACTGGCAACATTCTTACCTGGAGAAGGAGTTTCAGTCGAGTAATACGTTGGAATGGGAGGATGAGAAATGATTTAAGGGAGAGGCGTTGGCAAACAGGATCACTTTCCAGTCTTTCTAAGACTTGTTGGAAGGCAGGAACACCATTCCTGACAAAGAGAAGAAATTTGGCAGTGTCAACAGAAGTAATTTTCCCTGAGGCCTCTTCGTTACTCAAAATTATACTTTCCTCCAAATCAATGAAAGTCAAGTGCATAAAATTAATGAGTTCTCTGTTTTTCCACAGAATAAAACCCAAATGAATGGATTCAAATAACAAAAAAGTGATTCCAATTCAACATTAAGGGCATAACAGTTGAGAGTTGTTCAAGAGTTGACCCGCTGACTGCATAGTGGCTGCACGGGTGAGAGGCATGGAAATTAGCTTGGCACTGTTCATCTGCCACCTGTATCTTGCCCCCCTCTAACTTAATGGTGCCCACTGGGCACTAAAATATCAGCAGACACTACTTGGTGCCTGGAATGATAGTCTCCAACACACCAAAGAGGAATCACTTTACCTTCTCCAGTCTCTTCGGCGCATTGGATATCGTTATTCCCTATGAAGTGTCTACTAACATTTGGTGCCCAATTGGTACTGCTAAGACAAGTTAGAGAGGTTCAAGGTCGATGCCATCCCCTCTCACTGGGCTTGCTAAGCCTAGTGAAAGCGGGATGGCATGTAATCAACTACGCTGCTTCCTAAATGGGAAGCAGTACAGTTGATCACACGGGCACAAAGAAGCTTGAAAAGCTCCAGAGTATCCACTGACTTCAGGTAATGCACGTCAGGTCCGTGTTAAGTTCAATCATCTTTGTGTGTTGTGTAACAATTACAGAGCTGATCCACCATCCCTGCACCATAATGGACAAGTGAAAATGCACCCATTCATTACTTGGATTAGGTTTCCCTTTTTCTTTAGAGGGCAGGCACTTGCCAGCAGAACATGTAAAAGAATCTAAGAATCTAGTAAACCACAAGCTAAACAACATTTGTTATATGATACAGTGGCTAAATACTAATGTTTTCTGTGTCGAATTAATAGAAGTATAGTATGATGTATAGCGAGGAGGAGCTCAGGAGCCTTCTAATCAAGGTGAAAGAAGAAAGCGCAAAAGCTGGGTTGCAGCTAAACGTCAAAAAACCAAGATTATGGCAACAAGAATGATTGACAACTGGAAAATAGAGGGAGAAAATGTGGGGGCCGTGACAGATTTTGTATTTCTAGGTGCAAAGATTACGGCAGATGCAGACTGTGGCCAGGAAATCAGAAGACGCTTACTTCTTGGGAGGAGAGCAATGTCCAGTTTCGATAAAATAGCAAAGAGTAGAGACATCACACTGGCAACAAATATCCGCCTAGTCAAAGCCATGGTATTCCCTGTAGTAACCTACGGATGTGAGAGCTGGACCTTAGGGAATGCCAAGCAAAGGAAGATCGATGCTTTTGAACTGTGGTGTTGGAGGAAAGTTCTGAGAGTGCCTTGGACTGTGAGAAGATCCAACCCGTCCATCCTCCAGGAAATAAAGCCCGACTGCTCATTGGAGGGAAGGATACTAGAGACAAAGTTGAAGTACTTTGGCCACATCATGAGGAGACAGCAAAGCCTGGAGAAGACAATTATGCTGGGGTAAGTGGAAGGTAAAAGGAAGAGGGGCCGACCAAGGGCAAGATGGATGGATGGCATCCTTGAAGTGACTGGACTGACCTTGAAGGAGCTGGGGGTGGTGACGGCTGACAGGGAGCTCTGGCGTGGGCTGGTCCATGAGGTCACGAAGAGTCGGAGACGACTGAACGAATGAACAACAACATAGTATGATGATCAAGAGAAGTTATAGCACCACTATATTCTTCTTTGGTCAAATTTTACACAGATGACTTTGTCAAATTCTGGGCACCATAGTTCAAGAAAGACATCAACAAGCTAGGACAGGGATCCTCAAACTAAGGCCCAGGGGCCGGATGACTTGAGAAACTGCAAGTCACTTCTGGTGTGAGAGAATTGGCCATCTGCAAGGACATAGCCCAGAGGACGCCAGGATGTTTTGATGTTTTATCATCCTTATGGGAGGCTTCTCTCATGTCCCCGCATGAGGAGCTGGAGCTGAGAGAGGGAGCTCATCCATGCTCTCCCCAGATTCGAACCTGCGACCTGTCGGTCTTCAGTCCTGCCAGCACAAGGGTTTAACCCACTGCACCACCGGGGGCTTCTGACATAACTACAGTTCACTGGGCTCTCTCACACAGGTTGGCCTAAAAGGGAAGTTGTAGAAAGCTGTGGAAATAGAAAATGCTTGATCATTATTACTTACAGTAGTCTCTTAAAGGTTTGTTCCTGGTATGCCTGGTTTGTCACATACGGCAAGTAAACCCTGCGGAATTCCGAGGCATGCCTCAGTGCCACATCACACACGTTGAAGCTGAACATGTTTTCCTCGAGTTTCTCCTCCAGGTCAAACAGGAAACTGTAGGAATTCACAGTTGGTCATGGAAGAAAAGCATACCATTTATACATTCTTTAAGATTCATAACCCAGGTTTTTACTAAACATTAGGTTCAAGGCAGCTCAGACTAAGATTATCTAAAACAAATAAAATTAAAATTTAAGCAAGGGCAAATATAAAAATAGTTTAAAACAGAACTTAAGCCACACTAAGAGAAAACAATACCCCTAAGTTTAAAAGTCATGGACATCTCATGATGGTATATCTCCATCTGTGAAGATACAATTTCTCAAAAAGGCTGAGAAAATGTAATAATATTCTTTACATTCCTACTCTAAGAGGAATGAGAAAAACAAAATTTAAAAATGCACAACATTTAAAAAAAAGTTTATGTATTTATTTAAATCATTTATATTCCACCCTTCTCACCCCAAAGGGGACTCAGGGCAGAGCACAGCATATATACGGCAAAAATTCAATGCCAGGACACAAATTCATATACACATACATAAACATTAAAAACATTTATCTCAATATTAAAATACACCATTTAAAACTGTCCTAGTCATCAGCGTGAAATCTAATTGGCCTGGTAATCTTTCCTATTGTTGCTTTATTGCCCTGTCCCGAAAGTTTGGTCCCACAGCCAAGTTTTTACCATCCTTAAGGACAGAAGGGAGGGGGCTGATCCAATCTCATCAGGAAGGGAGTTCCATAGCCAGGGGGCAATCACCGAGAAGGCCCTGTCTCTCATCCCTACCAGTCGCGACTGTGACAATGGTGGGACGGAAAGCAGGGCCTCCCCGGAGGATCTTAATCTCCATGATAGTTCATAGGGGGAGATGCGTTTGGACAGGTAAATTGGGCCGGGGCAGTTTAGGGATTTATAGGCCAAAGCCAGCACTTTGAATCGTGCCCGGTAGCAAACTGGCAGCCAGTGGAGCTGGCGTAACATGGAAGTTGTATGCTCCTGGTATGCCATCCCAGTTATTAACCTGGCTGCCTCTCGTTGGACTATTTGCAGCTTCCGAGCAATCTTCAAAGGCAACCCCACATAGAGTGTGTTGCAGTAGTCTATCCAAGATGTAATGAGAGCATGGACCACCATGGCCAAGTCTGACTTCCCAAGGTACAGACGCAGCTGGCACACAAGAAATGTATCTGATTTTTTTCAGTACTCATAAGCATAGGGATTGGAATCCAAGTTTTACTCCATGCCTGCACTGGCCTGAGGTATCCAGTTTCAAATGTCCACCCTTGATAGAACTTGTTGGCTTTTGAAGGTGAAAGAAAAGAGAAGAACTCACTTGGCACTAACATCACGCACATCCTGAAGACGGGAGAAAAGCCACTGTCTGTCTTGATTAGTCAACACAGCCTGGAGTTCGGGGGCGTGTTGAAAGTGATCCACGGCTACATTTAAGCTCCGGAGGTATGAAGCTTCAGATGCAATCAATTCAAACTTGGCCTGCCAGTAAGAAGTGAGAGAAGATGGCTTTCATGAACCAGAGAAAAAGAAAAACCCTAAAAACCCATGGGTCTGAGATCATAGCTACTAATGTGTGGTAGAGAAAGAGTCAATAGTTACATGGGATGGTAAGAGAGGCAAAGGATTGTCTTCGTCCTTAAAAGCCAATCAAGAATTTGCATTAAATATTAGATAACACTGGCCAATACACATTGTGGTATCTGAAATGTTAACCATATTCCTGGATATATTTGACCCACTGATTCCAAAAATCGTACCAGTTTTCTCCTATCAGCTCTGGTTTTTGAAATACCGAATATATGCCATCTATTAGTAGGCATCTGCTCACCCATAGAAAAGTGTAATGACAATATTTAAGAAACAAAAGTTGATGCAGTCTGACCAATGCAATTTTGTGAATCAGCACATCTAATCACCACAGGAATAGGCCTAAAAACCAAGAAAGCAAGATTTTTTTCTATTGTTGCTGGACTATGTAATCTAACATGCTATGAATATCTCAGTGGAGATATGCTATGAATATGAATATCTCAATGGAGGACCTTCTTGCAGCAACACCAGAGGCACTCCAAGTGGCCAGATACTGGTCAAAGGACATTTAATCAACTACCAAGCTTGCAAACTTTGTGTTTTGGTTGTTTGTTTGTTTTGTTAAAAATGTAATACAACTGTCTGGTTGCTCCTGACACGATAAAAAAGTGGTTAGATTTTGGAATGTGTCTTTCTACCTGCCCAGATTAGGGATATTTAATCTCTCTTGTTTGCTTTCCTTTTTGTCCTTTCCAGATACAAGAATCTTCTTTTTTTTCTTGCAGCCATTAATGTCTATGGGTATTTTTTATTTTATCTTAAATGCAACATTCTTTCATTATTCCACTTAATTTTCTGCCTGTCACTCATTCCTCCTTTTGTGTACTTTCTTGGGATTAAACCACACTAAGATCAACGTGACTTACTCTTTTTAACAGAGCTACTAGAACCTGATTCCTTTGACATTTAAGACAGTAAATTGGGTCCGAGTCTGTCAACCCAAGATTTAACTAATGCAGTGGTTCTCAACCTTCCTAATGCTGTGACCCCTTAATGCAGTTCCTCGTGTTGTGATGACCCCCAACCACAACATTATTTTTGTTGCGACTTCATAACTGTAATTTTGCTAATGTTATGAATCATAATGTAAATATCTGATATGTAGGATGTATTTTCATTCACTGGACCAAATTTGGCACAAATACCCCATATGCCCAAATCTGAATACTGGTGTGGTTGGGGGGGGGGGGGGGACTGATTTTGTCATTTGGGAGTTGTAGTTGCTGGGATTTAAGGTTCATTCAAATTAAAAGAGCATTCTGAACTCCACCAATGATGGAATTGAACCAGATTTGGTACACATAACCCTCATGACCAACAAAAAATACCGGAAGGGTTTGGTGGACATAGACCTTGAGTTTGGGAGCTGTAGTTCACCTACATCCAGAGAGCACTGTGAACTCAAACAATGATGTATCTGGACCAAACTTGGCACGAATACTCAATACGCCCAAATGTGAACACTGGTGGAGTTTGGGGAAAATAGACATTGACATTTGGGAGTTGTAGTTGCTGGGATGTATAGTTCACCTACAATCAAAGAGAATTCTGAACCCCACTGATGATAGAATTGTGCCAAACTTCCCACACAGAACCCCCATGACCAACAGAAAATTCTGAGTTTTCTGGTGGTCTTTGGCGACCCCTCTGACACCCCTTTGCGACCCCTCCAGGGGTCCCAACCCCCAGGTTGAGAAACACTGAACTAATGGTTATGAACGATATGGCCCTTTCTGGGCTCTGCAAGCTCCTGGTCACTTGCATTTTGTCTCTACCCTTCCTTCCTTTTCAATTTTTCTTCTGCCACTTTCTATCCCTTCATCATCATCATCATCATCATCATCATCATCATCATCATCATCATCATTATTATATCTTGCATTATCTCTCCTGCAGGAGACTCAAAGCGGACTATGATGATTCTTCCTCCCTCCTTCCCTCTTTCTCCTTACCTCCTGCAGCTTCTGTTCTTCTCGGGTCATGCTCTGCAGCATTGTACTGTCTCGGACCTTAGGGATGTCCTGCCAGAGAGATGCAGTGGATGAGACAGACAGGCGTTGTGGATAGGAGTCTTGCAGGGGAACAACTTTTCTTTGCAACCTTAGGGAGCTTACGGATCCTAGTTCCACATCTTCAATCAAGGAATCCGCCCTCTTTTGGCTTTGAATGGCTTTGTTTAGTATAACATCACTGTATTCCTGGTAGAGTACCTTTGCTGTGGATAAAAACCATATAATCTTATGAATCAATGCACTAGATCTAGGGCCAGAACTTTTCTGATGGTGTGAGATTTATAAAAGGAAAACAACTTCATATGTCAATGTTAGGCATCAAAATGCCAAGGTTTGCAGTATACTGATCTGTTTACATTCAAGTTATTTCTGAATTCAGAGTGAATGATTTACTGTACCAGCCATAGGCCATGACATCAAATAATATAAACCTTTAAAAGTACACTTTCCACTTTCCAATATAAACATTAGAACTTATTCTATATACCAGTTCTTTAAAATTACAGCAGAAGTGACATTAATAATAATATCAATAACAATGTCTGATTTATATAATCCCAAACTATCTCCATTTCTAGCCTCCACTATGAACTCTACTAATTTAGCTTGGACTTTTTGGGCTGCGACTGCAAATGTGGCAACCTTTATTTTTGGAATAATCCACTAAAAAGTCACAGATAATTGCTGACTGTTCAGAATTCTGAAAATCACTTAAAATAAATGATAATATAATATAATACTTTATTTGTGGACCACCCTATCTCCCCAAAGGGACTCAGGGTGGTTTCCAACATGTATGGCAAAAATTAAATGCCAAAAAAGGGGGGAAAACCATGCAGACAAATTACATCAGGACAGGCTATATTGAGCAACATAAATCTAACCTAACTTTAAACTAAACAACAGACAAAGTAACTGATATTAAGAACTTAAATAACCGTACAAATATAACAGTTAATATAAACTAAACACTAAATAAAAACAACTAAGAACAATAGCTAAAACCTTATAAAAAGATGACATGATGTGCAACAGCCACCAGGCTGAAGTCAGTTCCAGTCTCTAGAGAAGATATAACATATCTAGGCAAGAGTATAAGTCAGACATGTTAGTCTTCCTCTTCTCCATACGTCAAAGTGCATAGGTGGGTTTTTAGCAGTTTTTTGAAAGCAAGGCGAGAGGGAGCAGTTTTTAATTCTTTTGGGAGGGAGTTTCAGAGGTGGGGAGCAATCATGGAGAAGGCCCCATCTCTCGTTCCCATCAGCTATGCTTGAGATAGGGGTGGGACTGAGAGCAGGGCCTCCTCCGCGGATTGCAAGGTTTGTATACGGAGATGCAGTTCTGCAAATAGACTGGGCCTGAACTTTATAGGTAACGACCAGCACTTTGTATTTAGCCCAGAAGCATATTGTAATAACACTTAAAAAAATACCAACACCTTATAAAACTCAGGTGTTTCTGAGTTTTGGGCAAGAAAACATAGCTGTGACAGAAGTTTTGCTTCTTTTTTGAACAAGTAGAAAGAAATGTGCCCAGCATCATTTTTTCTGCAATTACAAATTAGAATTTCAGTCTCTCTCTCTCTCTCTCTCTCTCTCTCTCTCTCTCTCTCTCTCTCTATATATATATATATATATATATATAGAGAGAGAGAGAGAGAGAGAGAGAGAGAGAGAGAGAAAGGCTAGACATTCTAAGCAAGAAAATATCTTGGCCTCAATAAACCTTTCCATGGCTGACAAGTTGCTAAAATGTAGGGTCATTGCAAAGCAATATTTCACAGGGTGGTTCTAGGCCAAACTAGACATGAAGGTACTTGTAGTTCACAAGTTGTCTCCATTCATGTAGTAAGTGAGGGCTGGTGGCTGATTTTAACATCAAAATGAGAGTTTAACCCTTCAACACATTCTCTCCTGTCAGTTTCTGCAAAGTCTTTTCCTTCATCCCAATAACGTGAGTCAAGCTAGGGGGGGAGATAGCTTAAAACAGTGGAACACAAGGTAATATGGCAAGAGAGGGTTCATTTCTCTTCACTCATTCAAATCAAGTATTATCAAGTGTATCAAATCAAGTATTATCATGAAGGACCATACTTTGTACCCAAATGGGTCGGACACAAGAATAAGCAGACATAGTTATCACCACAACATCAACATCTCTTGCCTAGATATCTTACATCTTCTCTAGAGATTAGTAGCATAGCAAATATTACATATGTGCTATGCTACTACTTAGTAAAAGGCCATCTCCATCACTTACATTATAGGATAATAATTGTTTACAGACTTGTATTTAATTTCCTTGCTATCAGTACTGCACGGGCTGTCCTTGGGGCAAATAACAACCAGCCTGATCTTTGCCTAGGAAATTAGCAGAGGGCCTTGATCCAGCCTAGAATCACAGCCCATGCGAGAGCTCTATGGTAGTTTTAACTTCAAAATATAACTGGTCAACTTAAGCCTGTGTATTTGAAACCATGAGAAATCTAACAAAGTATCTAACCCTTGAGGAAAGAGTACCACAAAAGTATTTGGGCAGGAGATATTTACATGAATTGATCAGTTTTGAGTGTCGCCGTTTGATGTTTTCAACTGTTTCTTCTGGTTTCTTCTCTCTTTCAGGAAAGAGAAAATAAGAAGACATAAATACTATAGACATGATAGAAAAATTCCAAAAGAAATTGTATCTCCTGAGTGTTGGAGTAGTTACATTTGGAACTTTGCAATCAGATTCAGAAGCTTCTTCAGATTCAGAAGCCCTTCTACACTGCCATATAATTCAGATTATTAAATCAGATAATCCAAATTACCTGTGTTGAACTGGATTATCTGAGTCTACACTGACATATAATCCAGTTAAAATCAGATAATCTGGATTTTATACAGCTGTGTAGAAGAGGCCTGATAGAGTTCAGAACTTAACCCTGTAAAATTCTCATCCTGGCATGACTGACACCTACTATTCTTTCAAGTACTGCAAAATAATGGTATTTCGGGGAAATTAGATGCACACAATCTTATGGGACAGGCTAGACTCCCCACATGCTCCTTTAACCGTCTTGTATCATTTTTGCCCTGTTCATTCCTATGTTGCTTGAGTTTATCAATAAACTTTGACTAATTGGCTTCATCCTATGTGATGTGTGTCTTAGGCCCCTTCCACAATGCCATATAATCCATATTATCAAATCGGATAATCCACATTATCTGCTTTGAACTGGATTATCTGAGTCTACACTGCCATATAATCCAATTCAAAGCAGATAATCTGGATTGTATATGACAGTGTAGATGGGGCCTTAGTTGATTACAGCTAAATTGATGTGGCGTTCCAACATTAAAGGGTTCCCTACCTACGTAGTAACACTGTATTCTACTTGTTTTACTCTGGTTCTCAATTTTGAGGAATCATTTTGTTATGGATTATCAATTCAAAAGGTATGCTGGCATGTATGTCAAATGGAAAATTCAGAATGTACTAGAGAAGTGGCCCCCAAACTCTGGTCTTTCAGGTTTTTGGGCTTCAGCTCCCAGAATCTCTGAACATTGGACAAAGTTTCTGAGACTGCTGGGGAAAGAAGTCTGAAACACCTGGAGACTTGGACTAAAGAGACCTAGGCCTTTACTACACTGCCATATACAATCCAGAGTATCTGCTTTGAACTGGACTATATAGCAGTATAGACCCATATAATCCAGTTCAAAGTAGATAATGTGGATATTCTGATTTGATTATCTGGATTTTATGGCAGTGTAGAAGGGTATCAGGAAGTCCACTGAACCAAGGGAACATTAAAAGAGATAGATGCAAAAAAGTTTATGACAAGAGACTCACCCACATTTAACTTGGTCTAAATGATTCCTTTTGTCTTTGTGTACATGGGCATCCCCTTTGGAAGGGACGAAAGATGCTATCATATCTTAAGAAAGAAAACAAGATAAGTTTTACAAGTCAATGAAGTACTTAAATCCATATAATTAAATTAAGATGTCAAGAGAGTAGAAAGATAGTTCATTAGAAGAGGAGAATTGCAGACAGAGAGATAAATACTATAGAAAAAATGCACATATTTCAGGTGCCATCAGGAGTACATCTTTGAAATATGTACTTTTCATCTGTTAACCCAATTCTGTGCACACTTTCCTCAAAGGTCATTTAGCCACCCCCTCTTTCATCCTTTTTTTGGGGGGGGGGGTATGCATGTGTGCTGTCACACGCTGGGCCTGTAGCAATTGTCTATTAACAGGACGTGATCTTTATGTGCCCAGCGGGACACTTCGGCTGAGAGGCCCTATGAATTTCCCTATCCAAAGTCTTTAGAAGCTTGGAAAGTTTAACAAAGTTCTTAATTGCTGCAACAAATCAGTCAAATACTTCTTAGATCTTCAACAAATCAACCAAATATTTCTTAATTTGTCCACAATGGACAGGCAACTAGCTTCATGAACTGTTTCTTTCTTCTATGAGGGAAATCCTTTTGACCCCTCCCTGGGCAACTTGTCTTTTAGGCTTAGCTGGCGTGGGGCCCTATTCCTGGTTCCAATTTGCTTTATGGGTACCTGAGTAGACCTTACCGGCTAAAACTCTGAAGATTTTCCAGCTGGAGTCCTTTGGATTTTTTCCACGAATGCTGTGGATCTGTTTCTTTAACCCCAACAAGGGCTGTGCTGTATTTCTTAGTAAAGCTGCGAGAATTGTCTTCCCCAGCCAAGCTTGTAAGAAATGGAGCTTTTCTACAGGAGGGAAAAACTCACACGTCCTGTAGTTGGGCTTCAAACTGTAAGACTGAACAAACTGTCCCCTTTCCCCTCCTGAACCTGGGGGAAAGGGCGGTTCCAAAAGCCCCAACGATGATAGGCAGGCTGCTAGCCTATGACTGCAGCCTGGGGAAAGCTGCTTAACTGCAAAACGCCTGGCTAACAGAAACACGTGCAAACTCTCCATGTATAGAAAAAGAAAATTTAGCTTCTGGCCCAGCTGTGCCAGCACAGCATGTGTAAAAAAGCCCTCAGATCTCATTCAAAATGGATTTTTCTTTTCAGTACAATCCACCGAGAATCAAACCTACAGGAACAGTAGATTGTGCTGTTCTTGATCATGCTAGAATATGTAAGCATGAACTAATGTGTTTGCATATCTGCTTATGTACAATGGCTAATCTTTGTGTTTTCCAGCATCCCTTTCAGCAATCAGAGATATAGATATGAAAATTGCTGTCTTGAGGACAATATCATTGCTTTTAGTAAACTTAGAACAGCATTATTGAGTTAAAGTATTTGAGTGAAAAGACTGCAGTAATTATGCAGAAGGATAAGAACTTGCACAAGACTGTGAAAATGGGGATTAAAAGCCAACTCACCTAATTCATTCTCTGTTGGTATTGAGATCTTTCTTATACCATGCCGATGCCAATCTTTGCTTTTTGACCGATGTTTGACTAATACCTCCTGTGTCTTGGAACTAAGTGCTGAATCTTTTGGGCTGGACAAAATGACATGTTGATGTGGACAACTAGAAGATTTCTCTAAAGCATGATGTTTAGTTACTCTGTCCGTCTTCTGATACATTGCACTGATGGGTTCCATTACTGACTTTTCCAAGCCCTTCCTAAGGCTTCCAGAGTCTTTTACTATAGATGTTGTGGTTTTAGCATATCCTGCCTGTTCTTGCTGCCACGGTGTCTCTTGAGAGTCAGGCTGTGGATTGCTTGGATATCTGGTTGGTGGTGATGGGGGTCCAAGCTGGAGGAAATGAATTGGGTTGGTGAAAGCTAGAAGTTGAGGGGGCTGCCTTGAGGTTTTGGGTGCTGTAGCTTCACACTTTTTCTGACTATCCAATGAAGGATTGAATGTGCGGTTGAAGGAAGATTTTGCATCAGGGACATCCATGACCTGAGACATTGCTTCTCCAATCCTATCTACTGGTGATGTATAATTTCCTAAAATATCTGAGTGTGTGTCCAATATCTCACATTCACAGCTTGTTTCAGGTATATTCCCATCCTTTTGGCTTTGTAGGGCTGCTCCTCCCTCCATCTTTGCCATCTGAGAAGCAGGACTCTCCTCTCCTCTATTTTCCAAAGACTGATTTTGGGCAAGGCTTTCAGATTTAAAAGCAGAATCTGTCCTCTGAGAGACAAATTTAGCAATTGGTACATTAGGATGTATGCATCCAATATTTTCTGTACAATTGTGGGATACTTTGGATTCTGGCATTTCAACTAATTGCTGAATGAACCAATTGCCAGCAAGGATTGGGGGCTTGTTCAAATCAGAAGTTTGAAATGGTCTGTTATCAGCAAAAACTGGATATTCTCTGAGTTGACTGTTATTAGGTCCAGAAACTATGTTTTCTCTGACTGGGTTGAAATCATCGCGTTGGATGGGCTGACTGTCTATATGCTCTGAAAATATAAAATGATCTGTGAGTTTTTGCAAAACAATGGGCATGGATAGTGGTTGGTTGCTGTCAAACTGTTCAGAACTGGGCACTGGGTCTGGAGGCTGGCTATATCGGTTGAAATCACATTCAAGGATTGGACACTGATCAAATAGTTCAGTGCCAGATCTGGATTTCTCTTTCTTTATAGCAGTGGAAAATGGGCAAGTTTGGTTACAAGAGGACACTTGCTCTAGGGAATGATGGAGACATCTGCTATGAGGAATGTCACCTATTAGCTGGGCTGGGGGATCTATATTGTGTGGTGGGGTTAACAACTGAACGAGTGTGCTACAACATGGTGGAGATAATGAGAGCTGGCTGAAGTGGCTAGAGGCAGGTTCAAGGGTCAGACACTGGTTAGAAATAGACATTGGGGAAAGGGACTCTTTTAACTGAGCCATATCCGTGGTGGGAAATGCAGAAATGTCGGTATTGTGGTCAAATTCTGTTCTGCCTTCTTCAAGAACTGGCAAACACGATGATTCATTTATTGAAACTTGATCCTTTAAACAAAATGTATCTTCGCCTGCTTCCTCCCCCAGAAACTGAAACTTCTTCATTGGGGTTTCTACATGCTGGTGTTCCTCCAAATAAGTTATGGGAGAGTCTCCTTTCTGGGATGGCAATGGATCGCATGTAGTCAAATTTACATTATGTATAGTTGTACTGGATAGACCCTCCTCTGGAGAGACACTTTGGTGGATTTCATAGACAGAACCTTGAGAATATTTATCAAAATCCTTATCACAGGTGCCATTTTTGCTGGAAGCCTGGACAACTGTATCACTGTCTAATGTTAAAGCTTCTTCGTGAGTCACTAGATCCATTTGCGATGAGATGGGCAGCCCTTTGTTTGCTGATTCTTCACACAGCATGTCATTACCATCACTGGTTTCTTTGCCAGAATATTTCTGCACTTGACCTTCTGTTGTTGTGATTCCTGACGGTGAGTTACAAATATGGAGTTCAACATTACCAGTGCAGTCTCTAGATTTGGAATAATGTAGGTCTTGGGAATTAGGCATTGTAAATGAATCTTTACATAGTATTGCCGTTCCTTCACCATCAACATTCCAATTACTCTTTTGACCTTCCACATTTTCACTCACTTTGTTTTCAAGAGAAACTTTTCTGTTTTCCTCAGTGGGTTGTTCACAGACTTCTTGGTCATGCATCCCAGAGGATTCTAATTCTCTAAATTCATGACAAATTTGAGGTTGGGTACTTGGGCTTGTACTCCCTGAGTATTGTACAGCTGGTTTTGTATTGGAAGGCATAGCTGTTGTTTTGACATTGGAATCCAGACAGTGACTTGGTGAGAAGACCTTGAAGGATGATGCAAATCTTTCAGTCTCGGGAAAAGCGCTGCACTGATTTAAATCAGGAAGGCCCAAAGTGTTTTGCAGATTATAAACTGTATCTAGACCCATCATATCTTGTGAATTGGCCATCTCATCTTTCTGTTCTTCCTTCCTGGATGTTTTACTTATCTGCATGCCCCACTCTTGCTCTTCCTGAGCATCGCTGCGTCTCAATTTTTGTGTGGACTTTGCTTTTATTTTGTGCTCCATTGTTTTCCTATCCAGATCCCCTTTCCCCCCTTCCTCATGCTTATCCTCTAGTTGTTCACTGCTTTTTACATGCTTTATTTGGATGGTCTCCTTTAGTGAATGGGGCTGGCTGCCTTCTGAATGATTCTCTTCATCTTCTTGGACATGGAGGACAGTGCACATAAATGACTTCCCACCCAGTTCTTTCTTGTTCAGGCCTGAATGATCACAAGATTCTAGAGGCAAATATCCACCAAGTTTTTCTTGTGTCATTTCTTCATTTGCTGTCATATGTTCAGAACATCCAGAGTCTGGCTGATAAGGAAAATAAGAGTTCACATTTTCTCTATGTATCATTAATTCTCTTATATTTTCCTCCTCGCCCTTCCTGGAAGGTCTGGGATTTATTTGGAAACTACCTTCTGCCTTGGAAGTCATATCATCCATGTCCCACATGGCTTCCATACCTTCCTGGTTTGTTTCATATTGTACTTCTAATGAATGATCTTCATCTGATATGGCTTCAAAAAGCTCATCGTTTTGATGACACTTTGAAACAGGAGAGCATTTTGTTTCTATACAAAGCTTCTGAGATACTGTATCATAGACGTTATGGGATGGGGAAAATCCAACAAAGTCATGAGTCTCTACTTGTCCTACTACAACCTTACTAGGAGTATTTGAGGTTTGTGCCTGGGTATTGGAAAAGGAAGTTGGAAGAGTGCAAGAGAAATATGCATCTTCAAGTTCTCCCTGGTGGCAATTCAAAGAGGAATCCTCGCTCTCCTTCAAACTGATTTCTTGTATAAAGAGATCTCTTTCTTTCTCTAAAGGTCCTGCCCAATTTGATGGATTCTTCTGGCTTCTTTCCAGTGCTACAGGGGTCTCTTTTTCAAAAGAATTGGAGAATGTGTCCCAAATCTGTTCTTCCACGACAAAGAAAAGAGGTAGATCTTCAGAAAAGTAGGTCTCTTCCTTCTTTTCTGCCACCTGCTCTTCGGAAATTTTACTCATGGTGATAAGATGTAGGCCACCATTGTGCCTTCGGGATGCTGGAGTGCCCAAGGCTTCATGGAATACATTTGTTGGTGGCGGGAAAGAGTGTCGCCTTTTGATTTTTTCAGGCTCCATTAGCATTAAATCCTGAAAATGGGGAAAACAGTAGTTGTTAGTGTTAGAAAAGGCTGATCTGTAAATTCTGTCTTTGAAAACTTTCAGAATATTGGAGGAGGAACTGAAACTAAAAATAGAGAGTGATCAACCAGATTTTTTAAAAGCGGCCTGGGGAAAAGGGGGGGGGGGAGAGCAGAAGGGCACAGAAAAGCATATGAAATCCAAGTTTCTGAAGCTCTGATTACTTGCTACAGAGTTTTATTTTCTCTTACTAGACAAAAGATGCAAATCCAAGCAGCATATTTTCATGCAAAAAAATCCTTTTTATTTATTTAATTAATTAATTAATTTACTTTGCTTATATACCGCTGTGTCTCAAGCCCCTTTCCTTCTGATAAATAAATTCTAAATAAATAAATAAATTCTAAATAATCCAGATTTGATTTCTAACCAGGAGAAGGACAGATATAAGGAAACTCTCTTGCTGAACTGAAAAATAGGTAGCCAAGAAAGCATCTCTCTTGTCTCTCTTCTTCTACCCCACTTGGATCAAACTATTTTTAAAATTCTGCAGAATGTATAATCTAAACTGAAAAACTGATGAGCCAGAGCAAAATAAATTTTATAAAATAGTCAAGATAAACTGCACAAGTTTCCATGGGTTGCAGCTTTTTATAATTGATTAGATGTACCCGCCAAAATTCCCTCTTTCTCTCCTTTTCCTCCTTCCTTCACTCCCTCTTTCTTTCCTTCCTTTCCGTCTTTCCTTCTCTTCTTCCTTCCTTCTCTATCTCTTTCCTTCTTCCCCCTTTTTCTTTCTCTTCTGCTGTCTCTCTTTTCTTCCTTCTCTTTCCTTCTCCCTCTTTCTCTACATCTTCCCCCTTCCTTCGCTCCCTTTTTTCTTTTCTTCTTCCTTCCTTTTTTCTTTCCCTTCTTCCTTCCTTCTCTTCCTTTTCTAACTTTCCTTCCTTACCCCTTTTTCTTTCCCTCCCTCTTTTTCTCCTTTCTTCCTTCTCTACATGTTTCCTTTCTTCCTTCTCTCTTTGCTTCCATGCTTCCTTCTACCTTTCTTTCTTTCTTTCTTTCTTTCTTTCTTTCTTTCTTTCTTTCTTTCTTTCTTTCTCCCTTTCTTTCTTTTTTCTCCCCTCCCTCTTTCTTCCTTTTTTCTGTGTTGTCATTTATTTTTTTGTCATTTAGCTTTTTGGGGCTTTTTAAGTCCCTTCTGTTGTGTTTTTCAGTTTTTATGAGTGAAGGACATACATTGGTTGTTAGGTGTATGTGTCCAAATTTGGTGTCAATTCCCCCAGTGATTTTTGAGTTCTGTTAATCCCACAAACAAACATTACATTTTTATTTATATAGATAATACAATAAAAGTTTGGTGATAAAAAATATAAAAATTATACAGAAAAAGAGGATAGAATAGAATTATATTATGTATCGAGTCCCAGCTGTGGCTATCTCTCCATTTTTAAAATTCTGCAGCCACTGCTTAGTCAAGTATATTAGATATGCCACTAGACAGAAAACACTCTATTCTAGTGTTTGGGACTGTGCCTTCAGTTTCTCACTTTTAAGAAACTACCACCCATCACAAAATCTCTTGTATGTTAGTATTATTGGGCAATCTCATCCAGTATTACCCTAAGTTTACATTGTGATACACATGCTGCTAGCCCTCAGAGATTGACCTCAAATGATTGAGACAGAAGTTATATTGATCTAATGATGGCGAATTCCACACTTAAGCAAGTCAATGACTCAACAGAAGTGCCACAACCACCAGTGTCATCATTCCCAACTGGCTAATGTGTTGGTTAAGTAGAAAGGTCACAGTAGTGACAGTTGCCTCCATACCTGGCTCCATGAAGACAGTGTCAGAGACAATTGCCACATTTGTGCCTTCTCCAATTGTGCCACAACTTCTCTTGAAGGAACACTGCAATTGTGATACAGCTCTGGAGGTTCTTCTCAGAACCTTACCACTTGTTAGTTTAAAATATTTTTTAAATAACTAAGTAACAGTTAAGCTAATGCTGAAGGTCCACCTTGAGTCCACTGATTTAGTTAAAAATAAATGTAATTGTGTTACCATTTTTGTTAGCAAGAGATCTGCAGGCTCCAGCATTTCTTCTGGGTTTATTTTTTTCTGAACAAGGTCACATAGACACCATCATCATCACCATCACCTCATCATCATCATCATCATATATCCTACTTTTCTCTCTCACACAGGAGAGTCAATGCTGCTTACTCTAAAGCAGGGGTGTGTTCCAAGGGTCGCTGAATACGAGGGTTGAATAAAAAGTAATGCTTCCACCTTGATTACTTGGGTTTGGATGGGAACATTTTAATAAATCAAACTCATCAAAATAATCCTTAGAATGTGCTCTTTAACCACCACTATTCACTTTTCCACATAATCACCAGACAATTGGATACATTTCTGCCAATAATGAATAAGTTTTACGAAGCTGTCATGGAAGAAGTTGACACTCTGTTTCCGCAACCAGCGTCTCACAGTTCTCTCAACCTGTTACCCATTGTGCACAGATCTTCCAATAGCCAAGCAAAGCAATAATGTGACCCACATGTTCTTGTGTAATTCTGATGATGCTCAAAAATTCTCTCTGAGTGATACGACAATCGTCCTGAATCAATCTGTCAACCTTTTGCTTGTGAAACTCGGTGGTTGCTGTCACAGGACGTCCAACTCTTTGTTTGTCACGCAAGTCAGATGTTCCCACCTCAACATCTTTAAACTTACTCGCCCATCAACACACAGTACTCACATCAACACGATCAACATAAACATCTTGCATTCTTTGATTAATTTCCTTTGGGCTGACATCTTCTGCTGTCAAGAATTCAATGACTGCACATTGCTTGTCACATTGACCGACCATCTGCGCAGGGTTCCATACTTCACACTTTAACAACACAACCGTTCAATGCCAAGGCTTCCTGTCAAAATGGAACTGTAGAGGAGAGTCTACTGAACAAGCCAGTATCTGCCGCATACCAGTTCTGCCATCTGTTGAGGAGTTACGAAGGTGGAGGCATTACTTTTCATTCAACACTCGTACATGGACTGAGAATCCATGGATACAAAGGGCCAACTATAATTTTCTTTTGGGTTCTTGTTGCTTTTTCCCAGTTTGGGCCTCCAGATGTTATTGAATGACAACTTCTATCAC